TGAGTTACTTCTTGATTATCAAGTTTTTTATAAATTATTATCAATTTTTCTTTATTAGATTTAAATTTGATATCCAGTATTATTTCAATTTGATATGCTCATAATGTGTAAAGAGATAGATTTTGAATCTTTTTTGATAAAAAACCATTCAATATTTGTGAATATTAACTATTTTTCTATATTTTTCTATTGTTTTTCTAATTAATTATTTGTTATATTTGTGCTTTGCATCCATTAGTATAATATATTTTAATTTGTTTTTTGCTAAAGAAAAGTTTTCTGACTTGAAGAATCTTTTATTTAAAGCATATTTTTGAAAAGCTGGATATATGTTTCTATCTTAATCCATTCTCTTAATAGAAAAGGTTTCTTCTTTTTTTTTATTAATTAATTCTGCACATTATATTATATTCTCCTCTTTATCAATATCAAAAATAATCTAGTGGTTATCATTGATAAATTTAGTTTTAAAGGGATTCAATCTCTTGTTATATTTAAAATTCTCTTGAAATATTTGATTTATTCTTCTTTATTATTACCTGGTAGTATAACTTGAAGCACCTTTAATTTAATTATATCAGTTTGTTTGATAAAGTAGGAATTAACTATAGAGGCTTATATTCTATTTTATATATTATAAAAGATATTTTCTGTAATACAAGTTCCTTGAACTATTTCTTTAATTATTTTTACTTCTATCTGATCTATTATAATTTGATCTTCTATTATGACTTCTCTAATAGAATTAATTTCTTTTACAATTGTTTTCCATTATCTAAATCATTGATTTATAGCATTTCTTGACTTTTATCCCTATTTAAGTGAAGAGCTATGAATTTTATCCCTCAAAAAGGAATATAAGTGTTCTGTGAAATTTTATATGCTAAATACTTTAAGGACCCATTATTACCCACAAGGATCAGTTTTGTTCTTTTAGCTATCTTTTATGGATCATTCTGGGATCCTCTTTTTCTATAGTTTTTTATTTTGAGATGTAGACTTGACTATCTATAAATATCTCGATTTTGCTATCTACTGAGGTTACTAGTAGTATAGTAACTATTGCTACTAATTCTGCTCTAGTGAATAAAGGTCAATTCTCTACTTCAGTTTGAAACTTGCTTTTTCTTCCTGTATCTCCTATCTATATACATGCTGTTTTCATTCTCATATTTGTATTTCTGTGGTTTATAAGGAACCCATTGGAGTAAAATATCATTGATTCTTTTTTTTACTTATTGCAGTTGAGTATTTCAATCAAATGAGATTATTATGCATCTTCTTCAACATGATCTTTGATGATATTTGTTTCTCAATCCTCTATTTCAACCTGTAATACTTTTTCATTCTAGGTAGTTACTTGATTACTATAAATTGTTCTACATATCATACTTTCCAATGCTTCTTTGGAACTTGAAATTTCCAATAATTGGAATCTTCTAGTGGACTTTCTTGCATTGAGGTAAAGGACTATATGTATGTTCTCTATACTTGTTTCAATTATATATCGATCTTCTATTTTTGTACCTTTTATGCAATTTTGACATTGGACTAGTTTTGATTCTTGATTTTTAACAGGATTGATATATTTGAAGTGTTCTATCTTAAGTTGTCTTGATGTATTATCTAGAATCAATTTCCCTCAAATTATTTGTTACTATTAAAATTTGCTTCTTGTAACTACCCAGAGTTTTTGTTATTTATCAAAGTTGATATTGAGAATAGGATGTTCTAAACTCTATTTTATCCATTCTTCTTTTTAAGATTCTATAAGCTATTTTGATCTATTTTCTTGTATTATCTCAGTTATAGATAGATACTATCCTGAAATAGGTTTTTTGCTTATTTTCTGTAACAATTAAAGCATTCGCCAGTTTAGTATTTCTCTTGTTTTGTAGTTAACTAGCTGATCTATATATATCAATTTATTGTTTCTGAGTGATGGAATTGTTTTTCTATATTCTTCTATTGACAAGTATTCTCTAATTAGACTATTTTCTTGGTTTCATTCAAAAATATTATTCTATTTCCAGTTTTGAAAGGTCATGCTATGTCTTTGATCAACTTCAGTACTTGCAATAAGAAATTATTTTTTCCTAAAATATTATTTAATAAGTTACATATCAGCATATTAATAGGCTCCTAGTATCTGACTTGTGCTTACTTGAGTCTAATAATTGTTGTGGTTCCAATTGATTCTGGATCGTTTAATCTATTACATAATCCCATTATCTGGCTTTCTTTTTGTAACATCTAAACACTCTTTAAGTTATAAATCTTGAAATAATGAATTACACTATTGAATATTAATCAGTATAATATAGCCTTATTTTTGAAAAGTTTTCTGTACACCATTGTTAAGGTGTTACACATCTTATAAAATAGTATACTGTGTTGCATTTTGAATTCGATTCTTGATATTAATGCTCTATTAAAAATATAAAGAGCTTATTTGTCTATTAGCTTTTTATTCTTTAGGGCTCTAGTAATCACATTAATGTGAATATTTAATTATAATTATTTTAAATCATAAATATAATATATGATTAAAAATTTAGTAAATATATAATTTTAATAAATATCAAAGTAAAATACAATTTTTTGAGAAAAATTTTAATAAAATATATAATAAAAATAATACAAATTATATGATAAATAATATCAAATTATATAGTAAAATTTGTTACTAAGTTATTTATACTAAATTATATAGTAAAAATTGATTGACAATTTATTTATTTATATCATTAATTTGTTAAATTATTTATTTTCTTGATGAATATTATATGAGTATTATTATATCAAATAAATATTTTTCAACTAGTATATATTAAAGATTTTTTTTACACAACTTTTATAATAAATCTATTTTAATTTAATGATTAATAAAAAATTAAAAGTTTTATTTTTATATAATTTAATTATTAATTTTATATATATTTTTTTATATATTTGAATTAGGGATTATTATTTGAAAATTATAAATTTCTATCTCTTGAAATATAAATTTATAATCAATTTAATATAAAAATCATTAAAAAATTTTTTATTATTTCTTTAATTATATATATATATAAAATTTATATAAAATTTTTATAATTTTTGTTTAAAAAATTTTAATTTAAACTTTGTTTTTTAATAGTAAAAAAGATTATATTTCAATTTGATTCAAAATTTTAAATGGTATAAATACTTATTAAAAATAATTGATTAATACAAAATATGTTAATATATGTAATGTAAATAAATCCTTATTAATTTATTTACATGTTTTGATAATATTAATAGTAACTAAAAAAAAAAAAGTTTTGAAAATTGTTATTTTTAAGTTACAAGTTTTCAAGAAAGGTATTTAAAATATCAAAAAACAAAAGATAGATAATATACATTGCAAGTCTTATTCTTTTTAAGTTTCTCAAGTAGTAGTTGAGTTGATTCATTCAATATCATAGGTGATAACAAAAAAATCTTTTTTGAAGTTCAAGTAAAAACAAAAAGAATATTTCAATCAAACAAATCTTTTTTAAAGTTCAAGTAAAAACAAAAAAAATATTTCAATCAAACAAATCTTTTTTAAGAGAAGATTGTTCAGTTTTATAAACTTTTTTGAAGAAACTTGAATTATATCCCTTCTTTTCTTTTTCTTTTTTTCTTTTTTCTTTATTAATTTAACAATTTATGATTTTCAAGCAATTTATATTAACAAACTATTAATAATGAATCTAGAATAGAGATATATATCAATCCTCTAAGAGAGTAAAATTTTGTTTCCTAGATCTGACTTAGAGTACTTCAGTATAATAACAAGTATAGTCAAATTAGAAAGTATATAATTATTATTATCAAGAAAAAAAAATATTTAAAAGTATATTTTAAAAAGTATATCAAAGATTTTTAGCAATCAAAATCTTCTCAATAAATAATTTATCAATAGAAATGATACCATCAAGAAACCATTAACAAAAAAAAAAAAAGAATGATGATCTTACTATTATTCAATTGAATAAGATCCATCAATATTTGAATGGTACACAAGAAACAAGAAGTTCTTTAGATTAGAAAAAATATTTTTAATTAAAAACAGAGATCACTATATTACTTTAATTAATATAGATCAGGAATAGTTAAACAAGTCTTAAAGAAATATAGGATAACAATTAGTATTAAATAAAACAATTTTTTTAAACAAGAATTTCTTTTCAATTGCTTGAATATACTGTATATACAGTATTTACAGTGTTCATCGTTTGGCGAAATACTATTTATTGTCAGAAAATTAGGAATTTATTAAGTAAAAATTTTGTCGATTAGTTTCTATAGTGCCCCGTACAAATTCTTTTTCAGTGTCATATCATTCACTTCTCCATTTCCCTTTTCTATCACGGGAATCGACAACGACAGAGTTGTTGAAAAGCGGAAATTGCACGACAACGAATAATATTCTTTTTTTGAAAACCACAAAAGAAAAACGAATCGATAATTCTTCGGGGAATTGGTCATCACTTGACCCTATGGAACTAGAAATACAAAGGCGGTGTACCTAATTTTTGCTATAAGAATGTAATACTATTTATTTGTTTTGTGGAATATTGTAAAAAAAAAATAAAAAAGCTAAAGGCCATCGAATTGAAAGAAATGCTCCATGTTGCAAATTTTAATCATTTCTTTACATACCGCATTCTTTGCGATAATTGGAAGGAAGGGTAGGTGAGTCACCTCAAACTCCTTCGCAAAAAAAAAAAAAAAAAAAAAAAAAAAAATAGCATTGCAACACAATCGTACTATCGTCTAAATTAAACAACTTTGCTTTTTTGCACAACTTCGTTCTCTAAAAAATGATCAGCATATAATCTTAAAAGGAGCATTTTTTTTTCTTCTTCAATTATTTCTGTCGGAATTCAGATTTATATATTTTATATTAGGGACTAAAATGCTGTCGCGGTAAAATTTTTACAGTCGGATACTTTTTTCAATGTCAAGAATTGCACAAGACATTTATCTTAATCGCTCTCGGGTATCACGTCGTCCTCCTCTTCATCTGAGCCTTCCTCGTTTAATTTGAAGTCACTATCCGAGTCGTGCATATTTTCATCTGAAGAAGACGATGGCTCCGATAGTTCGTTCCCCGAATCGGTACCAAAAACTTCTTTGTAATCACCGCCACTCGCTATTTTTTCTGAAATGGAGGTCTCGGATTCGGGGTCAAAATTTTCACGGGACAATTCAGTGGCGTCGGTAGAATGAGTTATATTTGACCTAACCGATCCCGATCGACTCATCGACACTCCGTTACGCTTTTTTCCATTTTCAGTTCTCAACTCCGAGACCCCATTTAAAAGGGAGGCGAGGTCGTCAGTTTCCTGCTGAATATCCTCGACCGTTGATTGTCTCGACCTTTTGCCAGTACGGAATCTGGTTGATCGACGACTTCCCGAGTATTGGGAATTCTCATCGTCGTCATCGGTCGACGATTCAAGATACCTTCGTTTAACATAATTGCGAACCGATTTTGCCCTCGTCATGTGAGTGCTCGAAGAATAACTGTATTCGTCATCTTGTTTGTTAGACGAGGCGGAAGAAATTGTTGACGCAGATCGCTGGTAAGGTTCTAGGCCAAGCGCTCTCCTCGTACCACTGCGAGTGCGGCTTGCAACTATTTCAGAGTTTGCATGTAGTAGTGCAACTTTTTGAGCTAATTTTTCTTGGCGCAATTTCCTAGCATCTCTTCTCTCCTTCGCCTATATTTCAAAAGAAGAGGCTTTACTTAGAATGGGTGATAACATGTGAAGCATGGCGTACCCAATATCGAACGTAAAACACTTGCCTCAATAGCTTCCTTGATCGAAGGTATGAGCTCGCCTACCAGTTTGTTGTAAAGTTTCTTATCTTTTCTCACCGACGACTTCAATTCCTTGGGATCATTAACATAATTTTCTATATCCTCGATGGTCGACGTTATCACTTCGAACGTGTATTTGTCGGGTCTATTACCTTTGCCATGTAAAACTTTCTCTCGATATAATCTTGCGCCTTCTGGTGAAATAAAATAAGTCGAATGTGCACAATGAAATTTAAATTTATCGAATGTTGAATTCGACTCACTCACTTCCAAAATAATAATATTTTCGACCCCTTCGATCTTCGCCATATGGTTCTACCTCTAACGCATTTTCTTGATTCTTTTTGGCATTCCTGTATTCCTCCTCTATTGCTTTGCGGATCTCCTTACAATCTTGCAGTTGCCAGTTTACGAGATTATTCAAAATCAAAACCTGTTATTAACGATCGTGCTCAGATCATTTTAAGACCGAACGCGGTTTAAAGACAGAATTTCAATGTCCAAAACAATTACCTTGTCTCTGGTTCCCAGTTCGTAATAACTTTTGACACGACGAAGAGGATTAAAATCTTGGTAGAATTGATAACTCTTTTTCAGCTTCTGATCAATGGTGTCGGATAACAATTTTTTCCAGGTCTGTCGACTATTACATTCATTGCGAAGAAATAATTGACGTAATTGGGTTAACGCAGCTTAAACACTTATATAGCAAAATAATTCAAACTAACCGATGGCCCGCTTGATTTTAAAAATAGAATTCGACTTACACGACTTGCTTCGTTCGATTTAAGCAATTGGTCAAGAAGGTGCAATGTAATTGCTCGATCAGATCATTTTCGCCTCGATCTATCAGCGCCTGTTCCAATTCCTAAATATTCCGAAATAATGAGGTAATTTAAGCATATCCTTTCTATTAGCGAATTGATCCATCAATGATCCAATTAAATGTGATCCTCGGTTAGTTCGAACACACCTCTGGCCAAAAATCAATGCCTTTCATAAAATTCTTGAACTTTTCACAGAAGGCGATTATTAGGCCAGTCTCCGGCATGGAACGCAAGAGCTTTATATCCTCTTCGCTTGTGCTATCAGGTTCCGTGTTCATGCCTTTCGCTATTTAGAGTGTTTTCTTTTTTTTTTTAGGCGAGTAACTAACGGGTCACCCGTGGCTTCCAGAGATGTTCTTGAGCTGCTGGTGAGTGTGTGGGGTGGGTGAAAAGAAGGAAGAAACGAGCGAGCGCCCTTTTTTTCTTTAATACCTGCTGCTTTCTCTCCACCGAACTGCTCGGTCCTCAGAACGAAAATGTCGTGACTTGTTTACTTTGAAATGTTTGCCGACTGAACTTGCGGTGCGATATAACGAACAAATTGTTTTCCCTGCGCTTTACCAAATTAATAACTTTTTAAAGTTTTTGTGTTGATCCAGATCAATATTTATATGAAATCGGAGGTGGCACGACCGCACTGCAATTACGCAATAAAGGAAATATGTCATGATGTGTCATACAAGTTTTTTTCTTTGTCCTTTTGCAATATTGATGATGCAGAAGGACCGAGGTTATCGGAGGTTGGTGATTGGAAGCTTTTTGTTGGTAGAAAATCTATTTAATACTCATTTTCGGATTTCCTGAACAAACAATCTTTTTGATTTCAGTTCGTTCATTCATGCCATCATACCATACACGATTGAAGACTTTAAGACGAGAAAAAGAGGGGTGAAATGTTTTACTTCTAGCACTCGCTCTTACCCCTTCGCTCTCTCTATTGCTCTTCATGAGTGTGAAATGTATAATTTGATGTTCAGAATTTGGTGTGGTGACATTTGATAATGATTCGCATCCGCGATTTGAACTTGCGACCCTTACCAATGTTGATTTGTGAAATTTATCGATGGCAGTGAAGCGTTGTTGTTTACACTTGATGGCGCCACGAATTCGCATTGCATGGTTGCATGTGCAGTCAAAATTCCCTTTCAATCTCATCACCTTCCTATATACTGTAATCATATGGTAAATCACATTTATTTTGGTTCACGTAGAATCTTCTCAGGTTTAGGCAGAGGATATGGGTGACGCAAGTTCATGTTGACAAATACAATAGTACATAAAAGTAATGAGTTCAACAAATTAGATTAGCAGTAATGTGTTAAATCCCTGACCGCTGGTGTAAAGCTAGGCAATTGAATTGGATGCTATTTAATGGTAAATGGTATTTTTGAATTTGGAAGAAAAGAAAAGCTTGACAGGTCATTAAAAAATGAATGCTTGGCATGGCAAAACCTGGAACACTCACTGTATATAAAATTATGATAAGATAGGTTGAGGGATTTTACCTTATTTCGAAAATCCCGCTGAAAGAAGGCACGAAGGATTTCCAAAGAACAACATATACGCCACAAGTACATCGTATTTGCGATACATGTGGAATTTAAAAATGTCCGGATTGACGCATTCGAAATTAAAAAGATGCATTAAAAAAAAAAAAAAAAAAAAAAGATATGCCGTGTGGTCCAAAAGGAATCAATTATAGAGGTTTATCACTCATCAGAATCTTATCACATTGATTAATTCATTTGTGATTAATTTTACGTGCTTACAGTAACTATTCACAGACTGAAATAAAAAACGTCTGGCACTCTAAGAATATATGCTGTGCCGTATACGTATTAATAAAAATCAAATCTCAATGAAACTCGGCATCATTTGTTTACAAAGTGACATATGAAAATAGTGGTTTTAATCAATTCTGGGTCTTCATTTTGTGACACATGCTCAGAGATGAAGGTTTATTTCGAAATTTATCATAGGGAATGATTTAGGCGTGGAAGCCCTCTCACTATAATTCATTGACCGGTTCCTTTGTGCTCACCTCCGCCCGGTCGGTCATTTTTATTTTACACAATTTTTCATTGGATTGCATTAAATATTATATGGTAAAGTTGAAAATGTTCTAATCATGAGTATCGAACCCTTTAACGCTTAAAAGGCTCGCTTATTAATAAAATAAATAAATAAATAAATAAATCGTTATTTGTGGTATAGGGATGACGCGTGAAGCAATGATTCGCTTGATTGGATTGGTGTCAATGAGATCGTTACGCCTTTATGACCCGCCGACGTTCTCCCAATAGTTTTTCCTTTTGATGTGGCGGCCGGGTCTTCTTCATATCTTCTTGCAGTTGTAGTATAAGGTTCGGTGAGGAGATGCTCATTCTCTTCTTTTTCGTGCTAGTTTTTATCTGCAAATTGGTTTGGGAGGAATTGTATGCGCCCTGTGAATAGAATTGCACCGCCTTTTCCGTGGCAGATTCTGGCGCAACGGACTCAACATAGTAAGTCTCGAAAAAGTGTAACCACTTGAATATGTCATCGATCGTTGTCATTGCCCCGAGAGAGATTCGGACGGCTCCGGTGATTTTATTGTTAAAGATGTATTGATCATCCCCGCAAATTTTTCCGTGCTATCAATGGTTTATCGGAAAGTGGGTTGCACAAGTAAGAGAGATGTGTCGAGATCCTTGTTAAAAAAAAAAAAAAAAAAAAAGAATCATTCGCGAATTACCTGATAATTTCTAATAACTTCTTCCGCCGAAAGATTAATCCATCTTGCCACACATCCCGGATTACAAAGTCCCCCGGATCGAAGGTGTATCCCATTGGCACTGGCCAAATTCTCTATTTCCCCGTATGGTACCCAATTTCCGTCCACTTTTCGCACATTAAAGTTATACACCGGTCCTTGTTTTACATTGTCCGAATAATCGTGATCGGCGTGAACGACGCACACGGGCATTCCATTCCAGTGCCTGAAGGCGCGCATACGACGATCCAAATAGGTTATCAGCGTAGTAACGTGCGGTTTGATGTACTGGAAACTGGTGTAGATTCGTTCGGTGACGGTGAACGCGTGATGCAAGGAGATGATGTCCAGGAAGTTGATGGTACCATCTTCATAACGTTCACTGAGATCAGAACGGAATTTTTGCCATTGACGATCATATGCCACCGCCGTAACTTGTTAGATAAAACGAGAATGAATGTTAATCATCCGCACCCGATATCCAAATCAGTCTATATACTATACTTACTGGTCCCGCCACCAAAATATCGCTTTTTCAACATAGGCTCCAACTCTGTCTTCACCAGTAAGGCACCCAACCCCGTGGGGAAACCAAATATCTTATAAAAACTCATGGCCACAAAATCCGGCGACTTATCTTTATCAGCCAGTGAAAGTGTTGAGGAGGTCAGATAAGCTGCTGCATCCAATAGCACCAAGTACTTTGAATTTTTTGTGTTTAATTTTCTCTTTACTTGATTTGCCCACGAGAGCGGGAATCTTTGACCCGAGAAGTTACATTGAGCTGGATAGGCGAACAAGTTATAGGTCACGTCGGGATCTTCAACGGGATTTTCATCGTCCTCGTCGTCATCATCGTCCTGATCATCGGATTCTTCATAATTGTTTGTTCGAAGCATCTCTTCCACCCTAATTTCATCTACCGAAGCAATGTCCTTTGATCCGAACTCCTCGGCATACCTTCTTAATCCCAACAAGCTGTTATGCGACTCCCTCAAATACTTAAACTTTGTTCTCTCGGTCCACGGGAACATCTCACCCACTACTTTAATAGCGGCCGTAGCATTCTGGGTGAATATTACCTGATAATCTTCGGGGCTGGCATCAAAGTGTTTGAGAACGCGCAAGCGAACCTGCTCAACTCGGTGAGATGTGAGCATGGAACTTGGATTATGAGAGTGCGGGTTGCCGAAAAGATTTCGAGTGAGGTCGTTGTGAAAGGAGGTGAGTATGGATTTGGCGTAGGTCGTGGCACCGGAATGATCTAAGTAGACGGCTCCTGAAAGCGATGAAAATGGGAGTTAAAGACGGAGTCTCCTTCAAAGAAAAACACAAACCAAATAGACGAATTAATTACCTTTCAATTGAGGATATTCATTCTCGCGTATTGAGTCAATCTTTCCATTATAGCCATATTTCGAAGAAAATTCCCTCAGAAACTCGTATTTTTCCGCACTGGTTCCTTCGAATTTCTTTGAAACCTCTTCCGTTTCTTTGGATCGATTCATTTCTCTCTTGTGAGAAACGTCTTGGCCCGCATGTGGCTTGTGAAAGCTAGGCTGACGTCGGATTCTACTGCGGTTTACTTTTTTTGGAGAATCGTGAGATTCATAGGCTTTTTGAAATTCATGAGGGACACGGAAACTGCGGGAAACAATCCCTTCGGTTTTTACTTGATCATTGTCCCTGGAACTCCCGAGTTTAAATAACGACAACATCTTTTCTTTGCAAAAATCCGCAAACTAAATAACGGCTACGGAAACTTGAAAACAATACAGAACCGACCGGATGCGTAGGATGCTTGGTAGTGAAATTTATTTCGAGGGTACAAAAGAATGACGAAAAAAGTAATCAAACCAATTTCAAGTTTAGAAATGAACGCAACGAACATTCGCCTACATGTATTTATATGTTTTTTACATTATGGTCACCATGTATAAAATTCTTTCTCTTTTTTGTTTCATGATGAACCGCCTATTGAGGTCATTGATGATTGTAAACTCCTGAGTACATTTTCTTTTACTTTCTTTATTTGAATTATGGTCTCATGTCAGCTAGTTTGAGGTAATAAGATCGGGTGAGCACAGATAGATGATATGACCCTCCCGAACAAATGTTGATCGTGATCTACTGTTATCGCAAAGCCGACCGCAAAAAGGCAAACGATCCACTATTATCATGAGACGACCGGAAGATGGACGTTATTTTTAATGGACGAATTTCATCGGGGATAGCTCATTGCCGTGGGAAATTTTTCATGAAACATCCAGTACCCATTTCAATTCGGTAGAAATATGAGAGAGAATTGAAAAGCGATGCCGTGTGTTGGCAAATTAGATGGCACATGTGCGTTATATAAATCCCCAAAAGGTTAGATCGCACTTCTTTGTTATCATTTAAAACTCATCTCTTTTCTATAACGCCTATTAGAAACAATCTCAATCCAATTATGAATAAGATTCACGATACAGTATCTACAGTATCGTAGATACGTTTCGATTTACTGCATTTAATAAGTTAAACTGTAATCTTTGAATACATCGCATTGCCGCCAAATTAAACGGATGTTCGGGATATACAGTACATACAAAATATCAGTCACTTGGGTTACCTTCGGTAAAAACCAATGTGTTGTATCTACTGCATCTACTGGATTATTGTGACCTCTCATCAATTGGAATTCGAAAATTCATGGCTCCTGAATTTAAAATTTACTGACCATCGGGAACTTGTCGTGAATTGTTGTCATAGATTTTTTTTTTTTTTTGAGAGTAATTAGGATTATCAATTAACCCCTTGATACAACGTGTATACAGAGTAATAAGGAATTTTTTTTTTTTATTGGATTCAAATACGACAACCGTATATATGTGTTATCTGTAAAAATTCTACCGTATACATTGTGTATAAACTGTACTGTATATACCGTATTTTATTGTTATGTATTTGAAACATCTTTCAAGATGGTTGTTCTATAGTTAACCTACTGTATGTGCATATACATGATCATTTTATCTATTTTATCTTATTAGAAATAATAAAAAAAAATATATACTTTTTTTTTTAAAAAAGAAAAATACTAGTTCAACCTCAAAATGAATCAACTTTTTTGTTAATAAAAAGATCACATTTAAAACAATCAGAACAAATATTTCTCTTATATTATTTAAGGCTTTATAAATCAATAAATAAATATACAGTAATACAATAATCACTTAATCAAGATAAAAACGATATACAATATACTATAACTAATCAATGTATTATATATAATCTCTTTTACAACATATAATAGGAATATAGAAGATATTAAATCTTGATTTTAATAATAATTCCAAGGATATTGAAAAATTTATTTATATCAAATATTAACAATTCAAATTTGTTATATTTAATAAAAAAAATTTTTTTTTAATTTTGACTCAGCCTTGTTTTATTTAAAATCATATAGTATCATTATATAGAGGATTACTCTAGGATATACTATTTGTTTACTACTAAACAAAATCCAATAAAGTTTTCTTTCCTCCAAAAGGAGCTTACCTTATGACTTGTTACTATCCTAGTTATAGAGAGTTAACCTGTTAAGGTTAGGCTAGTGTTAAAAGAAATTTCAATATATAAAAGTTGTCTATTAGATTTGTGATCTATTGATTCATAAAACTGTTTTCATAATTTTTATTAATAATATATCCTATACATTCATGTAATGATTTGCCTTAGCTCAGATTTTTACATTACTCTTTGTGTACAGACCTAATACATATATATTAACAAGTACTCATATACAGTATCTATCTGTATTAGTAATCTATATTTAATAAGTAATTATCTATATTTTACTATATATACATATTACTTTACCAGAAAACTATATGATTCCTTCTTAATTTTTTTTTTAAACCATTTTATAAAGAATAATTTGATTATTAAATCATTAAAATTTGCTTTATTCTAAATCTAGATTTTGATTTTTTGGAATGGTTGGCGAATTTCTTCTCCTATCAAGACCTCTCAATTGTTAAATTTATAAATAAATGTATAGACATATGCTTAAAGTCATGAAATCTAATTCAAAGATTGTTTTTTCAGTGATTTTTAAAGAATCTTTAGTTAATCTTTCTTCAGTAGCATGTAACCAGTTTAAAAATCTATATTTCTTATTACTAAAAGTGATAAAATAGTTCTATTAAGAATAATTCTATTCAATTTTAAATAGTGACTTTGATTATAATCTTTATATAGATCATTCTATGTTTTGTCTATTTTTATTCAATAGAAGAACTAATGGAAAGATCTATTAAAACTTAATTTGCAATAGTCTATACTTAAAAACATCAATTATATATAGTTAAGTCAACAGATATAGATTATTACCAGTATCAGAATTGTCTTCTAAAGGATTTAATCTAAGATCTTATAATTTGACCTATAGAGTACTAACCATTGCACTATTTATTTATAGGTCTTAATAATAATAATAATAATTATTATTATTATATTTTTTATCAATTTTTTATTGCAAAACAAATATCAAATAAGATTAAAATACACAATAAAAATAAGTTGTGTCAGACAATAACAAATAAAAAAAAAACAAATAAATATTAAATAAAAAATTTTTATTAAATAATTAATGTATTAATTATTATATGAATTATTTTATATTAATAGTAATTAATTGATCAAATAATCTTTTATATTTCAATTATATTTATTATACTATATAAAAAACTCTTTTTACTAATTTTCTGATCATATATAAAAAAGATGTTTACAAAAAATTTTTATACTTCCTTAGTAATAAAGTCTTAATACTTTCCTTAAAACAATTTGAAGTATAACTTCATAAGTTACTTTTATCCTTTTTTATTATCTATAAATCTCTTCACTCAAAAACTTAACTCCTAATAATCAAGAAAGTTAAGTATCACCTTTGATATCAATGGCAAAAAAGTTCACAAAGAAAGAAAATTAACTGTAAAATATCTAAAGGTCTGTCTAACCTTCAAAATAAAAGGTTTATAGAGGTTTTCTACAGTAAAGACTTAATTTTTTCTCTTTTTGACCATCTTAGTTCTTTTAAAGTTTTCACTTTTATAGTTTTTTAAGGAATTTTGCTTACTTCAATTTAATTCTGAATTTTGAATAGTGCAAATCCTCATCAAAGATGATTAGTTAACATGAAATATACTAGTTTTTAAAATATAAACAAGTTTCTATTAACCATATTCTATATTTTAATATTATTATTGATAATTAAAAGAAATATTATGAAAATATTTATTCTCAGAAGCTCAAGTTCCTTAATAAAGACATTCATAATACTAAAAGATCAAGTAATGGATAATATGAATTGTAAACTCCTATCTCTTACTTAAATTTCTTATGTAATGACAAAATTTTAATAAAAAAAAACTGAAATCTAAATATTTTTCTTGAAATATTTCAATTCAATATTTAGTTAAATAAAAGATCAATTGGATTAACTTATCCAATGCCATAAGTAGTAAAAAGGAAAATTTCTTTTAAGATTTAAATAAAAATCAAAAGAATATCTTAATCAAATAAATATCTTTTAAAAAGTAATTGTTCAATTGGTAAAATTTTTTAAAAGAAGCTTAAATTGTATTTTTTTTCTCTTTCTTTTTTTTTTTTTCTTATTAACTTAATAATTTATAATTTTCAGACAATCTATAGTAATAAACTATAATAATAAATCTAATAAATAAATATTTATATCAATTTTTTAAAAAAATAAAATATTGTTTCCTGGATCTGACTTAAACTATTTTAACACAATAATAAATTAATTATTATATAAAAATCTGTAATATTATAAATAGTTATGAAACTTTTCAATAAATATTAAGTTATATAATATAATTGCAGGTTAAAAAAATTTTTTTTTATTATAATTTTTAATAATTTATATTTAATTAATTATATAATGTAGAAAAATAAATTATTTAATTATTTTTTAATCTACAATTATATCATAATAGCTTGTCTTTATTGAGAAATTAAAACAAAATCTATAATAGTTTATAGACTTTTATAATATTATCAACTTATCTTTATACATAATACTTTAAGTTAGATTTTAGAAACAATATTATACTTTTTTAATAAATTGATTATGATCTCTATCTACTAAAATTATTATCAATAGTTTGTCACTATTAATTGATCTGAAAATCAATGAATTGTTAAATTAAAAAAAAAAACAG